TTTTGGAGAGATTCGGATTTGAGGAAAAGCAAGTGGCCAGAGGACCCGGATGTCTTTGCAGATTCATCCTCAGAGGACTCAAAAGGATTTCCATCTGAGGAAATGGCTTTAGAACTATGTGGGGGCAACTTTAAAGGGTTTGGGGTCACACAAATGTTCTTTTTCTGCATCTGCCCCCCCTTCTTTTTTTATTTCCAAATGGTAAAAGGTTTGGGGTCGCCACTTCACCAGATGCAAAATCTAGCCAAAGGTCACTTCTGGTTTCCCCCCAAAATTGTTTCATTTCTGATTCCACCCAAACCCCCAAACCCCGGTAATTTTTTTTGTGAGAATCAGTATGTTACTGTGGATAGAATGTAAGGCTAGAATTTAGGAGTTTTGAATTCAAATCCCCAATCGGCCATAGAAAGTCACTGAAGGGGGTGTGTGTGACAGTGGAAAATTACTTCCCAAAGCTTCACATACTTCAAAAGCCCTACTAGGGGCGCCGTACCTCGGAAGCAACTTGGTGGTAGGTAACAAAAATAACGATTAAAAAAAAGAAAACATTTTATTTATCGCAAAAACAAGATGCAGGGAAATACTTCATTTTAAAAGAAAACGGCAGCCTTTGGAGGTGCCGATACTTTAGTGTTTGCTTGTATTTTTAAATATGGCTGATGGGTAGACTCTGGGGCTGCAAATACATGGGTCCCAATGGACTACAGCCTGTGATTTCCACATCTAATATCTTAAGGGAATCATTCCAAATACAGTGGTGCCCCGCATAGCGATGATAATCTGTGCAGCAAAAATCGCTGCAAAGTGATTTCGTCTCTATGCGGATTTAAAAAGCCCATAGGAATGCATTGAAACCCCTTCAATGCATTCCTATGGGCTTCAAACTCACCTTTAAGAGAAAATCCTCCATATGGCTGCCATTTTCGCTGCCCAGTAAGCGAGGAATCGGTGCGAAAACACAGCGGGCGGCCATTTTTTAAACCCAGCCGCCTAGAGTGGTCCTGAGTTGACTAGATAGGAGGGATATAAATAAAATAAATAAATAAATAAAAATTTTGGAACCGCTGATCAGCTATTAAAAAATAGCGAAACAGGGTACCGATCATCGCAACGCGATTTCCCCCTATCTAAATCATCGTAATGTGATTGCAAAAGCGATCACAAAAAATTCATCGCTATGCGGATTCATCATTAAACGAGGCGCCCGTTAAGCGAGGCACCACTGTATAACTTCTGTTCCAAAGAAAGATCCTGCAAATATCCAGGGCAATCTGCTCTTGTTCACTGACACTCAGCTGCACTAGCCTGCCTTTCAGACGCACACAAAACAATGCTACCTTATACCTATTCGTTGTAGGGAACTTCCTCCGGTTCCCTCTCTATGTTAGGGAACTGGAGGAACGCCTCGGGGTCATTCTAAGAGTCTGAGAGTCCGAGATGTGGCTTTTGGGCTGAGAAGCAGGCCAGAAAGCCTCTCGGTTCTCCCAGCTTCAAGTGCCTCTACGGCTGCGTGGAGGATAACAACACTCCCTCTGCCTTCCTGACCTGTTCCAAAGATTACAGGTAGAGCAGCAGAATCCCAGTCTACCGCTAAATTTAGAACGGGGAGTGTCAGCTTAATTGGTTTTCAAAGCTTCCTGGAGGAAGCCAGCATGTACGCCAGGGAGAGCGCAGCAATAAACTTCACTCTGTGATCGGTGTGTTCATTTTCTTCACAGAAGGAGTGTTTTGTACACAAGGAGTATCTCTCTGTTCAGAAAACATGACACACCGGCCACAGTTTATGTGCTCCAGCTCACTTGTTTGTCATATTTAGGCATTGCTTCCCTCAAAACATTTGGAACACATGCTTCTGCCTCCCTCATTTGATCCTCGCAACAGGAGATATGTCAGGATGAGGGCCAACAACTTGTGCAGAGCTGCCCTCTGAATTTCACAGCCCGTTGGAGATTTGACCCAGGGATCTTCCCAAAGCTGGTCTAACACTTTGACCTCTATCCAACACTGACCCTCATTCTGTGATATGGGAAGGTCAGGGGTGAGGAACAACAGGCCTCGGGGGCCAAACCTGGCCATCCTGGGATCCTCATCTGGCCCTCTGGGCAATATATCAATATCTCATTTCCCAACTCACCCTCATTTGGTTCTTCCCAAGCTTCTTGTGTGAGTTTTCACTTAAAAGATCACAAAGATAGGCAGAAACCAACAATGGCCAAACAGGTGTTCTGCACTTCGGCACCCTGCCCCCTCCAGCAGGCGCCCACTCAGGGGCAGCAGACAGAGGAGGCAGGGAAGGGAAGCCGTGACACGGCTTCTGAGTGGGCGCTCACCGAACTGCAGAACACCTGTTCAGCTGCTGGCCAAACCAGCACCAACCGCCAACCTGGCAGTTCATGCCCACTTCTAGTCGAAATGCGCCTCTCCTAAGATTCTGTATTTTGTGGTAAGGGTCTGAAGCTAAAATGTGTAGTTGTTGTTGACTCCATCAAATGTCCCCACCCACTACTGAAGTGTGGCTCCCCAAAACATCTGTGAAATTGGATTCAGCCCTGAAGCTGAATGCCAAAAGTTTGCTGGGTACCAATCCCCATGAGTCCTATTCTGCACACAAGCAGTGGTCAGGGATGGTGGAAACTGTAGTCCAAGAATATTTTGCCAGGCATCGATTCCCCTCCACTCCACCAGGGTCTTCCGTATGTTATTTTCTTGGCATGTTGTTGTTACTACTACAATAGGAACTTGGCTCCCGTCAGAATCTGTGATTGCACGCAGTGCCTTCTTTTACAGAATTTAGGTTCCCCTTCCAGAAACCGGTCCCTATTTTTTACATACTTTCGAACAGCTAGGTTGCCAGGAGCTGGGACAAGCGACGGGGGGTCACTCCGTCGTGTGGATTCGATCTTACAACTGCAGGGCTTCCGACCTTGCAGCACAGAGGCTTCTGCGGTTTAACCCGCAGCGCCACCACGTCCCTAGAATTCTCTAGGCAGCTATTAAGAATAAAGAGCAGGAGAAAAGAGAAAGGAATCATCATTCTCGTGAGGTCAAACCCAAAACTGCGGTACAACAAGGCCATCCTAACCAGCCGATATTCTTCACTCCCATGGATAGGGCTGGCCCTCCCATGAAGTGGGAGGGACTCTGCCAAACAGCTGGAGCAAACGTGCTCTCCTGGCACCAGAAGTGTTGTCACAAGGTGGGAGATGATTTCCTTCAAGCAGTCACGCCAACACCCGCCCTGTTAGTCAAAATCTGGCCCACGGAAGGGGAGCAAAGCGGAAGCACAGCGTGGAATCCCTTGTCCTCCTGCTCCCGGTGGTGAGGTGATTTGTTCCACTGCAAGCACGTGGGGCGCTTCTCCCCGGGAAAAGAAAACCTACCTCTCCCAGCAGAGCTTCCAGCTCGTAGAAAACCACATTCAAAATTAATTTGCATTGCATTAGTGTCTTGTGCTCCACTGTGGCCTATATTTGTCCTGCTTTGTGGTGCTTTGTTGTGGTGTTTTTCGTTTTTAATAAAAGGCACTTATGTTCTCTTCCTTTTCCTATAATTTTTTTTCAAAGTAGTTAAATGTTGGGTTTTGTACCACATTCAGCCGGGGGGGAAAACACATTCAAGAAAATCCGGTCTCAGCACGGCCCTTCCTTGCTAAACGACATGTCGTTTCTTATTAATATTTAAGAGTCGACGTCACCTCTTGCAGCCTCAAAAATGACAGTTTTTCAACACCATGGATGTAAGGTGTCGTGAAGAAAAATAACAAATGGGTCACAGACAAGTGCTCTCAGCTAAGGGCCAAAGACTTCTGACCAACCTCAAATAAAGTTTGCAGGATTTATGTGCAATGCTCCTCCACAACATTTCAAGACAGCCCTTTGAAAACAAAGTACAGAAGCTTTATCTTATTTTTCCTCACTGAAAACAACAATAGCAAGCAGACTATTACTCTTGTGTCCGTTTTGCAGCTTTAAGGAAAAACTGAGAGTAAAAGACACCAATTTGTCTACATACGTGTGGCACACTTAATTCAAACAAGGAGGCTACTGAAGTTGGCCCAAACCTATTCTTTTTTTTTTTAAAGAAAAGGGATCTGACTGCCTTTTTAAAAAATTGTAATCAGAACCTCTATCCAATTCTGCAGGAAGTTAAAGAACCAGAAGCTCCCATGTCATCATGAGCAGAACTTGGAAATGTCATTTTTTTGGAACTGCAACTCCCAGAATCCTCAGCAATTATGAGAGAGGTGGACAATCTCACCAGGGTCCAGGATAAATTGTTCGGATGTGCTGGCACTCTCCCAAGAGGCTGTGGCTTTGAAGGTACAGATAAGGAACTGCTACAGGGTCTCGAGATGGACAGGAAGTCAGTGGCTAGTATCCTGTTACGTAGCTCCGCTGGCATAGTGAGAATACTGTCGCTGATAGCAGCAGATTGCTCTTAACTAAAGCGTCCCAGCTTTAATTTTGGATTTATTTTGGGCAAACCACGTGCCACCCAAAATCCAAGCAGGAAATTAAGAGATGGGCGTGAACTACTGGTTCAGGGGTTTGGCGCAGTTTGTTTCCCGATGGAACAGCTCATCCACAGTTAGGCACCCCACCCTTCCAGCGGGTGCCCATAGTCAGCACTAGCCCCCCCACCTTGCCTCCTCCAGACACTGCTGCTGAATGGGTGCCCACTGGAAAGGGTGGGCTGCTGAACCATGGATAGGTGCTTTGTGCCCAACCTTGAAAGGAAATCTTTGGGTGTGATTTGGGTGTGATTTGCCCCCAAATTAACCCAGAATCAACAACAATCTGCTACGGCTGGTGATGTCACTCCTGCTCTGCAGACGGAACTACACAACAGGATTTGGGCCACTCAAGGGAGTTAAGGAGCAGAGTCACTCGGTCAGGATGACGAGGAAGGGTTATAATTTTAGCAGCCAGACGCCAGATGGAAGATTCCATAACAGCAGGTTTTTAACTCTGAGTCCGTAAAAGGGATCTGTGGAGACATACCTGTATATGGAGATGTTTTCAATGAGTTCATTCGTTACGCTGTCACTGAGGATGATCCCTCTGGGAGAGACTTTCAACGTTACTTTCCGGAGTTTCCGCCCACTTGCTTTTGCCTTGGGGGAAAGAGAAAAGAAAATACATGCCAAAGGTTTCCCAGGTGTGGCCAAGACACACTCAACTTGGGAAAAGCATTACCTAACAGGCAGGCATTAACAACATCATGCGTACATTACTAGCAGGCAGAATGTCCTGCTTGGTCACACAGTCCTGCTGAACATGAATTTATAGGGCTTAGCTTTTCGGTGCATCAAAGGAAGTCCGAGCTGGTAGGGGCTACCCCAAGATATTTTGCTGTCTGAGCCAAAGGACAACGTGCAGCCCCATCCTCATTCCCTGCATAAAAAGCTCTGTCGATGTACACCTTTACTGTCCTTGAAAGCCTCCGGAGAACGTACAGCACTCTTAATTTCATTTGCTTCCTTTATATGGATTCAGCTGAAAATGAAGGTGGGGTATAACCTTGGGTGTCCGTGCCCTCCCCCTGGTGTTCTTGGACTAAAACTCCCAGAACCTTTCACTACTAAGTGTGCTGGCCAGGATTACTGGGAGTCGGTGGTCCAGATATTTGGGGACCCAACGTTGATGCTTTTGAATTGTGGTGCTGGAGGAGGCTCTTGAGAGTCCCCTGGACTGCAAGGAGAACAAACCTATCCATTTTGAAGGAAATCAACCCTGAGTGCTCGCTGGAAGGACAGATCCTGAAGCTGAGGCTCCAATATTTTGGCCATCTCATGAGAAGAGAAGACTCCCTGGGAGAGACCCAGATGTTGGGAAAGTGTGAAGGCAAGAGGAGAAGGGGACGACAGAGGACGAGATGGATGGATGGAAGCGACCAACATGAATTTGACCCAACTCCGGGAGGCAGTGGAAGACAGGAGGGCCTGGTATGTTCTGGTCCATGGGGTCGCGAAGAGTCGGACAGAACTAAATGACTAAATAACAACAACAATGTTGGGAAGCACTGACTTGCAGGATAGAGTTCCAGCTACATAGCACAGCTCTAACAGCTTTCTGCCACATCCCAGCGCCTGCTGGCTGAAGAGGCTGCCTCATCTTACTTAAAAGAGGCGCTGTCTCTGTGGAGCTGGAAAACACCCTTCGGGAAGAGTCTTTTCCAAACACTGTTGCTTGTCATCACTGCTCCTCTCGGTAGCGTCTTGGAAGCCAACTGTTTACAAAAGAAAACTCTTTACTATTTTTCTGTGTAATCCAGCCAAACAGGGATCCTGCCATGTAGCTCAGAGTAAGGAACATGTGGCCTTGTTGGACTGCAATTCCCATCTGCCCCAGACAACGCAGCTGGTGCAGGATGATCTGTAGCCAATAGCCAAAGGGCCATATTTTCACCAGCCCCCGTGAAGCTAGCATAAAAACGGCAGCACGCAAGATGGATTACGTTGGGGCATCATTATTAAACCAATTCGGATTTTCCCTCATTTCACCGTCCTCTTGAATTAACGTTCAAGGCAAAGCGGTATTTCACGGAAGGTGGGGTTTTTTTTGAGCAAACATTACAACTCTCTTTAGACTCAGTCATAGCACAAGGAAGCTGTAATTATTTAGCACCGGAACGTACACTGAAGGGAGAACATGTGGATGAAAACGATGTGTTGCTTGTCCCTTGCTTTCTACACAACCACATTTTCAAGAATGCCCGCATTCTTAACTCTTTGCTTCCTGGGCCTGTAAACCATACAGCCGCCCTCTGTTTTCTTAATAGGAAATGTCTCTAGACACACAGGCAGACATATGATGAATGTGAGGCCTGTTTCTTTTGCAGCAAAAGAAGTCCCATGAGAACTTTGAAAGGTCCACCGCAATTGGGAAACCTAAATCCTTACCCCAGAAAAGCTCCTATGCAGCTTTCCAGAATGCCAGAGCATGCCAAAGAAAAAAAAATTAACCTTCTCCTGAAATCCAACTTGAATCCCACCATCCAGAAATCGAAAGAGAATATCTTTGTAACATCAGCAGCCAACAAATCTTCATATTCACCTCAGGCCAATCTGCATCCACTGATCGGTGGTATCTTCTACAGCAGTACAGTGGTGCCTCGCTTTACAATTGCCCCACATTATGACGAAACCGCTTAACGACAATCTTTTTGTGATTGCAATTGTGATCGCAAAACGATGGTCTGAATGGGGGAATTTCGCTTTGCGATGATAGGTTCCCTGCTTCAGGAACCAATTCTTCGCAAAACAACGTTTTTTGAACAGCTGATCGGCTGATTCAAAATGGCCGCCGGGGGATTAAAATGGCTCCCCGCTGTGTTTAGGGACAGATTCCTCGCTATACAGGCAGTGAAAATGGCCGCCGAATGGAGGATCTTTGCTCAACAGTGAGTTTTTACCCCATTGGAACGCACTGAACGGGTTTTAATGCATTTCAATGGGGTTTTAATTTTCGATTTACAATGTTTTCGCTTGCGATTTTCCTGGAATGGATTATCGTCGTTAAGCGAGGCACCACTGTAGTTCCCAACCTTGGGTCCCTACGTGTTCTCGGACTACAACTCCCAGAAGCCTTCGCCACAAGCTCTGCTGGCTAGGACTTCTGGAAGCTGTAGTCCATGAACATCTGGGGGCCCAAGGTTAAGGAACCACTGTTGTACAGAACACCCTACTGACATTTCCTGCTGAGTACCAGCAGCAGACAATTCGAGGCTGTGGGTTTTGCAAAATACGTTCATTTCATTTCACAGCCATCTGCAGAATTTATAACAGTGTCATCCTCTAATTTTATGCTGGGGATGGTTAATACACGGAGAGGAATATCTCTGTGTACCTCGAGACCTCTTCCAAAAATTATGGAGGTCTCAGAAGTTTAATAAAGATAAACTTCCATGAATTTCATTCCTAACCATATGTTTAATTTATTTTGATGGTTAAAAATTCAGACAGGATGAACACCTTGCATTAAGCAAGCATGGTGTGATATTTAGGGTGTTGGACTGGAGATTGTGAGATCCTTATTTGTATGCCTTATTTGTATCTTCTTTAAGGACTTGCCATAGTTTGCTGTGGTCCACACAGTCAAAGGCTTTTGCATAGTCAAAGAAGCAGAAGTAGATTTTTTTTGGAACTCTCTGGCTTTCCCCATAATCCAGCGCATGTTAGCAATAGTCAGGGAGTTGGGAAAGTGTGAAGGCAAGAGGAGAAGGGGATGATAGAGGATGAGATGGTTGGACAGTGTCATCGAAGCAACCAACATGAATTTGACAGACCTCCGGGAGGCAGTGGAAGACAGGAGGGCTTGGCATGCTCTGGTCCATGGGGTCACGAAGAGTCGGACACGACTGAACGACTAAACAACAACAATTTGTATGCCCCACTTGGTCACGAAACTCGCTGTGTGATCTTGGGTCACTCATCCTCAGTCAGCCTAATCTACCTCACATGGCTGTTGTGAGGATAAAATGCAGAAGAGCCCTGTACACCACGCCCCCAGAAGAAAAGGCAAGAGATAAATGTGCAGTTTTAAGAACAATAATAATAAAGGCAACAGCAAAACGGCCTCAAAAGAATCCAAACAAAGGAAGCAAACAGAATTAAGACTCAAATTTATCATGGATAACAGGGTGCTGTCACTTCCTATGAAACCAACACCCACTTGAGGTTCTGGCTCCAACCATTTGCCAAGAAAGACCAGTCTAACTTTACAGATTTTAAGGTTTTTAAGATAAGTGAGGCTTCCTCTCTTCAACCCAGCACTTCGAAACCCACCATAAATCACGATCATTTTATGTCAGTTAATTCCCTGTAATTGCAACCGTTTTATGCATTTTATGAACTACTTTCTACTTTATGAACTGAAATTTATATGACTTTCCTGTTATTTGAGCGCACTTTTCCTCGAGTGCTCTTGGAACACGACTTCGGAGTGCATAGCTACGTGGCATATTCGAGTGTGAACAAGTCAGGCCTGCAACAAAGGGTTGCAGCTGAGGATATTCGAGTGTGAACAAGTCAGGCCTGCAATGAACTGTTGCAGCAGGGGGACCTGCGGCTCTGGTTTCTAGGGACCTGATTTCCTACTAAAATTCTCTGGTCTTCCCTGGTCATTTCACAGTGGAAGCTTCCTGGCAGTTTGCCCAAGAATTTGGCTGGGTTATGGCATCTCACATAAAGGACTGTCCGTCATCATCATGATCGTAGTAGTAGTAGAAATAACAACAACAACAACAACAACAACAACAACAACAACAACAGTAGTAGTATTGTAATTTCTATTTATTGCATTTGGCAGTCTGTGTTGTTCCCAGAAGATCCCATGGGCTAAAATGCAGCTCTCAGCCCAGCCAGAACTGACTACAGTGGTGCCTCGCTAGACGATGATAATCCGTTCCACTGAAATCGCTGTTTAGCGAAATCATTGTCTAGTGAAAAGCATTTCCCCATTGGAATGCATTGAAACCTGTTTAATGCGTTCCAGTGGGGAAGAATCGTCGTTGTCTAGCGAAGATCGGCCATAGGAAAGCCGCTTTGCGAACCGCCGATCAGCTGTTTAAATCATTGTCTTGTAAAGCTTAGGTCCCCAAAACACCTGTTTTCCGAGCGCGGAGGGAGCTGTCAAAATCGTCGTCTAGTGGAAATCGGTTTGCGAAGCAGGGACCAAACATTGTCCAG